GGTGTGCTCCCAGAATTCTGCAGGGTCCCTCCCAGTATCCTCACTCAACAGCCCTCTAACCTCTCTTCTGGTATGTTTTTCCAGAACCCCACCGGACCCTTCCCAGCACCCTCCCACTCTAACAACCCTCTAATTTCTCTCTTGATATATTCTTCCAGAACTCCACTGGATGAAATTCCCATTTTAGTTCATCACCTAAATACCTCGGCACATTCTGTCACCTAACCCCTGTGTTTCCTCACCCCTTTGTCTACCCATATCCACTCTTTCAATGAGTGGGAATTGTATCTGCTCACTGTCAGCAATAACCTCTCTACACAACAAACCATATCTCTCATCTCTCCCAGATTTATCCTCACGTTCAGCAGTCTCATCTCTCTTCAGGTTTTACAGAGATGTTCACCTGCATGTAACTATATTAGACGTGATAAAATATTGATTACCAACCACAACATAATTTATATTTCACTTACCGACATTCCTTTTTCCCACCACCCTACTGAATCAGACATCACTTTATAACCAGAGTTGAATGCATAATAAATGACCCTTACTGGGTCACTCACACACCCCATAGAAAGACACACAGTATGCAGATGACATGCCCAAACCAGTAAATAAAATCAGCAAATAAGATGCTCAATTATCAGGCATATTCTGGCTATCAGTTGGCCACTCACTCACACAGGTCTACTCTGTACAAGCAAATTATCTAGATTAGATTTTCCCTAAGTTACGCTCAATTCCCCTACATGCCCGACCAGAAGCTCCTCACAAGATTAATACTCCCTCTCGCTTCTGTTTGGGATCTGCTATTTCTTCTCCCCGATTTCTCTACCTTGAACCCTGCCCACACATTTCCTTTTAGACTTCCCAGCGTATGCTCATGATCTCCTGTCACTCGTCTATCCTATTCGGTTCTCCCAACCCGTCTCCTTCAGATCTAGTCACTCCTAAGTTCATATTCCACTGTTCATCAAATCCCATTTAGACTAGCATTGATTCTGCCTACAGCTACAGCTTCCCATCACGCAGCATTTAACACTCGACCTCCTTTTATAATTTAATCATCCTCTATATGTATTAAATCATTTTTTGATGCACGATTCACAAACTTACTACAATATTCTTCCAATCCCCTCACTTAAATTCTCGTCGTACATACATTATCCGAAACAAAGAATTAAAAGACGCATTTCAAATTCAGTGTTAGAAATTCTAAATTTGTCTTACCTCTTGCTTCCGCCTGAACGTTCGTCTACAACAGTGATCCTTCTCCGGACCCTTGTCGCCCCCGCGGATTCCTGACAAGGATTCCTCCTTCTAATCCCCCTTGAATCGTGCTGCCCGTCTTCTCTTCGCTCAACCTCTCTGCTCTCCCTCTCTCTCGGCCTTCCTTTCTCGCCCCCTCTCTTCCTCGCCGCCCCTTCTTCCGTCTAGGGTTCCTTCTGTTTTGAAGGAACCAAAAAGAAGAATTTATATGGGGTAAAGTGGCCGTTTGATTCCAACAATAGATCTAAGACCGTTGATTAATATTTTTTAAATCTTTTTAAAAATTCTTAAGTTTCCCCTTCCCTATTTAAAATCTTTACAATGTAGCCCCCATTTATTTCCCTATTGCTCCTTTCTCTTTCAAATTTTTTTTGACTTTAGTACCTTTTACTTCTGCCCCTTTTTTTTTCTTGGGAGGTTAGATACATATAGAGAGTAGGACATGATAAAGAAAAGCATACTTAAAAGAGTTTTGGATTTAATTAGTGGCTAGAGTTTTCGATTGGCAAATAAGTGAAATAGAAGATGCAGTGATGTATATATATATTTGTAGTCTGTATATATAATTCTAAGGTTTTGATTTTGAATTTTTTTTCTAATTCTACAATCGTACTTCTTTATTTATTATTTTTTTCGATTATTTTGATTTAACAATTTAAATTAAATAATTTTTTTTAATTTTAATATTATAAATTTGATGATAAAAATTAAAAATAAATTCCACAAAAAAAACTAAAAAAAATGATAACGTTGTTTTTGTATTGAATAAATTTATTTAATTTAAAATTACTATAAACAAAATAATATTTAAAAATATTAATATTATTATATAATATATAATGTTTTTATACAAAGTTTCAAACATGGTCATATTTTTTAATTATAATTATATTTTAAAAAAATTAAAAATATATAATAGAAAAATTAATATTAAGGTTAAGGTTTTAAAATGCTATTTTTCAATTTTACCCCCATTTTTTATTTTTATTTATTTACTTATTTGTTTTTTTTTATTACTTTCCTATTTTAATAGCTCGATTGTTTGGTTGAATGATTTAGATTATTTGTAAGTCATATTTTTTTCAATTTTAATATTATAAATTTTATAGTAAAAGTTAAAAATAAGCTTTATGAAAAATTAAAAAATATATAAAATTATTTCGTATTGAATAAATTTGTTTATTTAATACTATTACAAAAAAAAATATATTTAGAAAATATTAATATTATTATATAATATATAATATATGAAGTTTTTTATACAAGGCTTCAGTTCTGCATTGGTCAATATATTTTAATAATAATTGTATTTTTTTGAAAAACTAAAAATATATAATAGAAAAATAATATTAGAGTTTAGAAGTTAAAATATTTTTTTCCGATTCTACCTCTGTCTTCATTCTTATTTATTTACTTCTATTTTTTTTTTCTTTGATTTCTCCATTAGAACTAGACGACTTGATTATTTGGTTGAACGGTTTAAATCATTTGTAAGTCATATTTTTTCAACTTTTATTTTAAGTTTGATGGTAAAAAGTAAAAATAAAACGTATGAAAAATTGAAAAAAAAAGGATAAAATTGTTTTGTATAGAACAAATTTGTTTATTCAAGACTACTACAAAATAAATTATATTTAAAAAAATATTAATATTATTATATAATATATAATATGTGATGTTTTTTATACAAGACCTCAACTCTTTCTTGGTCAATATTTTTTAATTATAATTATATTTTTTGAAAAAATAAAAATATATAATAGAAAAATTAATATTAAGGTTTAGGTTTTGAAATATTCTTTTCCGATTCTACCTCCATCTTTGTTCTTATTTATTTATTTAGAACTAGACAACTCGATTGTTTGGTTGGATAATTTAGATCATTTATAAGTCATATTTTTCTCAACTTCAATATTATAAATTTGATGTTAAAAATTAAAAAAAGACCTATGAAAAGCTAAAAAAGAAGGAAAAGATTGTTTTGTATTTAAACAAATTTGTTTAAATACTACTACAAAAAAATTATATTTAAAAAATATTAATATTATTATATAATATAAAATATGTGATGTTTTTTATACAAAGTTCTAGCTATGCCTTGGTTAGTATTTTTTAATTATAATTATATTTCTTGAAAAACTAAAAATATATAATAAAAAATTAATCTTAAGGTTTAGGTTTTGAGATTTTCTTTTTAATTCTACCCCTATTTTTCGTTTATTTATTTATTTATTTTTTCTTTTACTTCCCCATTAGAATTGGACAGATCAATAGTTAGTTGGACAGTTCAGATCATTTGTAAATCATATTTTTGTAAATTTTAATATTATAAACCGTGCCCAATTTAAAGTTGTCCATCACTTTCTCTACCTAGATAATATTTCTACATCTCATATAACAACTAGTATATCTCAATGTAATTCATTTTAAAACTGTACATATTAATTCTTGTACAACAAAACTTTCAAGCAACCACATTTATCATCTCCTATCCATAAGACGTAACAAGTAAAGAATTTTTGAAAATATCTAAATACAAGAGTAAATTTATCCCTATTGTATTTAAAGTTAAGTACGTCTATGCTATTATAGTTCCAGAAGGAGTCCGATTTTACGGTAGTGGATAAACGTGATGTGAGCATGGACATGGATCATAAAGAGAAGGTCCAATCTAAAAAAAGATGAGAGAATAGGCCAAAAAGGAGATCTTATGGCTGACCCTAAATTTTCATATGTCTCCGCATTAATTTGACTACAATATCTTTTAATTAAAGGGGAAGACTAAATCTATTTTAGTTAAAAAATTGGCTTTTAATTTTTAGTTTATTTCCATATGTTTAACATCTTAATTTGACCATAATATTTTTTAATTAAAAGGGAAGACTAAATTTATTTTACTTAGAAAATTAGTATTTAATTTTTAAATTTTAATTTATTTCCTATGTAATTACAAATTAAATTAAGAGATCTTATTTTTCTTTTTATCTACTTGACTTAGTCTATAAATAGGCCACCAAGTTTTCATTGTAAGGATTCAAAAATTATCTCAATAATATTAAGAGTATTTTTTTTTTCAAGAGAGATTTTTCTACCATCTTGTTGAGTAAGGAGTGGATCTACTTATCAAGGTACGACCTTGTGTGGTTCCTGATCACGTTTGTTGATCTTGGTTTCTGCATCATTTGGTATCAGAGCTTTGACTCTATGTAAACCTACTATTTTTACTTTTGCACTTTTAAATTCTTGCATCGTTTATTTATTTATTTAATTTTTTTTTTTCATTCATCTATTCAAAAAAAGGATTATCTCATACATCGATCCAAGCAAGATATAACGCCAATTGATGCTTTCTTAGCTTGATACAATCTTTGTTGAGTACCGATATTTTTTAAATATATTTTTCTTTCAATTTTATTTCCTGTGCAAAAAAAAAAAAGAAGAAAAGAATAGAAAAAAAAGAAGAGAAAAAAAAAGAGAAAAAAAATGGAAAGAAGAGAGAAAAGAAAGGAAACAAAGGAAAGAAATCCCATTAAGAAAGTACTTATCTTTTTGGTACTCAACCATCTTTATTTAAAACGGTGCAAGAACCACCTCTTCGTAAGGCAAAAACTCCTTTTATTTTACAATTTTTTTTACAATCAAGTGCATTCATACTTAAATAGTTCATTAAAGGCTACATTCTTTTTATATAGAACATAACGTACATCAGGAATAAATTTGTGGGAATATCTTTTGGATTTCTCTTTGGGGCAATACCGAATCCCTACATCTTCTATAAACCGTCATTTTTTTTTCTACTCTCAATTTCTTTTATTACTCTAAGCTTTAGTTTTCTTATACATCTAAGCATCTAAATTGCATCTTAGAGTTTAGTGTAATTGATAACATACTACCTCTTCCTCTGTGTGTTACACTCTTACTTCTAGTATGGTGTGATATTTGTTCTATAGGATTCCTTGTGATATCTTAAAACAATACTTGAGAATACTTTGATTCAAGAGGATATATCCAACACTCAACTTGAGGGTGGGGGATAAAAAGGTAAAAGGCAAGAGTGTGTAAGATTATTAGAGGATAAAAGCCAAATGAGTGAAATATGAGAGAATTGGTGAAAAAATTTTTTTAACCCTTTTGCAGGAAATCTTCTTAAAATATCAAGTGAGCATTAAAGCCCTGCCAACATAATGCTCCTTATGGAGACTATGCATGCAGAATTGGCACGACTTAATCAGAAGATAGATAACTTGAGTAGTGGTTGAAGTAAAACAAGACACAGGACCTCTAATACAAGGCGGTCTAGAACTCAACCTCCTAAAAATGAGGCCGGGTCCTGTAATGATGGGAAGAAAAATAGGGTGGAGAGGGTAGAAGAAAGGAGGGATAGTAATATCAGCTCCATCAAGATGAGAATACCACATTTCAAGGGTAGGAATAATGCTGAAGCATACTTGGAGTGGGAGAGGAAGGTAGAAATAGTCTTTGATTGCCATAACTACCATAAAGAAAAAAAGATCAAACTAGTAACAGTAGAGTTCACTGACTACGCCTTAGTGTGGTGGGATTAACTACTCCTCACTAGATGGCGTAATAAAGAACGATTAATATCCTCCTGGAGAGAGATAAAAGCAATTATGCGAAAAATATTCATACCCTCTTACTACTATAAAGAGATGCATCAAAAGTTACAGTGCTTAACGTAAGGGTCTATGTTCGTTGAGGATTATCACAAGTAGATGAAGATGGTCATGATCAGGGCCAATATAGAAGAAGATCCCGAAGCAACCATGACGAGATTCCTCAGAGGTCTCAATAGAGACATCGCCAACATGGTGGAATTACAGCATTATATGGAGGTGGAAAACATGGTGCACATGGCCATGAAAATTGAGAGACAACTTAAGTACAAAAAGAGGGGCACATCATATGTCACTCCTACCTACAGCTCAGAATAGCCCAAGAAAGAATAAAATAAGGGAGCAAACGAGAAGAAGAAAAAGTCTACACCACTCGATACAAAAGGTATAACACCTAACTTACTAAAAAGCATAGTACAATTAAATATTTTAGGTGTCTCGGAACCAGACATATAGCTTCTCAATGCCCAAATAAAAAGATCATGCTATTGAAAGATGATGGTGGAATTGATAGTGCTAGTGATTGTGAGAGCGAAGATAATGATAAC